AACATTTTAATTGTAGGGGTATATTTTCAAAATTAATTTTCAAAGTCTATTTGAATAAATTAAAATTATAATATATATATATATATATATATATATTAACCCGATTTCTTGTAAGCAGGACAGAGTGACAAAGTTCACTTACAAACAAATGTCAATATTAAAGCTGATCATTTACAAACAAGAAGTAAAGTAAACAAGGTTTAAATCAAATGTGGATGATAATTGAGTTAATAGAAGATTTCAATTGGATGGAATTATTTTCAAAATTAAATTTCAATAAATATATGAATAAATCTTAAATAACACACACACATAGATGTGTATATAAACTCAATCATATGTAAACAAGACAATTGATAATGTTCATATACAATTATTTGTCAATATTAAATCAAGTCCTTTACAAGCTTGAAGTAAAGTCGATAGAAATCAAAGTCCAATACCAGATGATGACTGAGTTGACAGAAGATTTCAACCGGAGAGGACTATTTTTAAAATTAAATTTAAAAAAATATCTGAATAAATCATATATATATATATATATATATTGAGAAAGCCCAATAGCTGATATATTAAAAAGAAAGAAATATACAAATAGATAGTATGAGAGGGCTCAAGCATGATACCCTACCTACACGGTAAACACCACATGCAAATGGTTCCAAAAAAGAAAATACAAAAAAAAAATACAGAAAAATGCATAAGAGCTCAAAAACCAAAAGTGTCTAAACACTTAGTATCAAGTAGCTATAAATCGACCAAATTTTGCCCCGCCTCTGCCTCTAGTTTTAGGAAAGGAGCCAGCTAACAAATTGGTAAGATGAGTGTCATTGCCAGTAGTAATCAATGTATCATCTAATAAGTTCTTGAGCTTGAGTCGACCTCCGTTCTCCTTCTTCCTCCTGAAATAGACCTGTCATTTCTCATCCAAAGACTGACTTACCTGATCAGTGGATTGGTCAAAAGTGTGTCAAATATGTGTAAGTTGTTGAACATTGGAAGCAACTACTTGCTGTACTAGCTGATCTTTTATTGAATCAAAGGAGTACTTTCGTGTTTCTTGGTATGTAAGTGAGTCTTCTTCAATAACAATGAGTTGTATAGACACGTTTGGAACAGTACTTGTAGTATAGGGAGATGTTTCATGGGACTCTAAAGTATCATGCTCCAAACCAACAGCTGGAATAGAGTGTTCAAAAGTAGGAGCACTCTCGTGTGCCTTGACATGTAAGTGAGCCTTCTTCAATAACAATTAGTGGTATAAACACGTTTGGATTAGTACTTGTAGCATGTGGAGATGTTTCATGGGATTCTAAAGTATCATGCTCCTAACCAGCAGCTGGAATAGAGTGTTCAAAAGCAGGAGCATCCAGGGGTAGAACGACTTGGGTATGATGTTCTTCATCAGACATAGCGTCAGTCAGATGAGCATAGGTATATGCGATGTTGGAAAGAGGGTCGGGTTGCACCTTCTCAGCGGGGATGGTATGTGGCAAGAAGTCCACCCCCAATTCAGTATGAATAGATTTTTGAACAGGTTGCTGATCTTTAGCTATATCCGGCCTTAGATGAGGATGCAAACGATAAAAAATACAATGAGTGCAATAAGGAGGGTGTGGTTCTATTTCAATCTTTTGCCAATACCCGTTGTGAGTGGTTCCAATCCATACCTTATCTGGAGCTGGTTGGGCGATATCTCTCTCAACTAACACATAAACCACAAAGGGTTCATGATAGCAACCGTAAGACTATCAACCTTGAGAGACTTACTGTAAGCAGTTGCTAAAGAGTAGAGAATTTTCAAGTTCAACAGGTGTAGTTTTAACCCCAGAAACTTTATCCAAATAGGAATGTTCGGGGACTGTGCTTTTGGATCAAAATCGACAGTTCACTTCAGGATTTTCATAAAATGGTTGACGATCTTGATTACCTTACGAGAAAAAATACGAGTATAATTCACATCGTGAAGTAACTGAAGAAGTATATGTCGGTCATCAAGTAAGTTAATATCCAATTACCCAATAACTTCATAGCATAAAAATTTTTTTGAATGATCTCAAGTTTTGGATGACCATAAAGGAATTTCCCCACGCTAAGAAACAAAAGTACTGGTTTCAACCTCAGAGAGAAAAAGAGCAGATTTCCTATTTTTTTTACCAAATTTTTAATGAAAGTGTGATCACTACCACCTTTAAGAGTCTTGTGGAAGGATTTTGGAGCATTGCAGGACTTACCGATACCAAAACCAGACTTTGAACCTAAGGCGTGATTACCCGCAAGTGTAGTAGCGTACGTTCGGTTCGGGTCCATCACGAAGGTGCGACTTTAGGACAAAAGCCGAAGCCAACAAAACAGCGAGAACAAAAACGAAAGGGAACAGTTTAAGCAGTCGGAACACAAGGAACAGACAAACGATGTTAAAGAAGATGAAAGCTCGAAGTCTTCGAGGCAGACGAAGTTGCGAAGTTGAGGATCGAAGCAGGCAAAGTCGAAGCAGGCAAACGAATTCGAGGCAGACGAAGCACGATGAAGGAGCAGTCGAGCAGACAATAAAGGAGCAGGCTGTGATTTCGATCCGACGTAGAGATAACAAGGGCTACTCGGGTCGCCATGAAGACGCGCCGGGAGTAAACCTTAAAAGAGACATCACACACACACACACACACACACACACACACGATTGTTCCGCGGCTTCGACATCTACTGCTTCGCCCCGACGTCTTCGGCTCGTCTTCGGCATGTCATTTGCCCTCTGGCCTACTTGGAAGTGCTTCTCCTTGCTGTGATGGAGCTTCCTTCTTCGGTTGAACCTGACAAAACCTTCTTTGCTCATGTGGTGGGTAATCTTCAGGTGGAGACGACGGTTGTCTTCCTCTCAAGTTATAAGGAGTATCGTGACAGTATAAGTGGTTGCCCATTTATTAAGAATGCAAGCCAAAAAAGTGAGAAATCAACACTTTTTTTCTCTTAGTCAGAAATTTCAACCATGATTGAGAAATTCAAGTTTACTCTTATTGGAAAATTACTGTGGGGGCACCCACCTATGGAAGTTATCAGGAAAAGTTTTGATGACCTTAAATTAGCAGGAAAGTGGAAATTGAGGCTCAGAAATGAGAGACATGTATTGATTAACTGTGACTGAAAACTACACTGAGGTTTTCTCAAAAAAATATCTTAATATTGTTGGTAAATCAATGAAGTTACTCAAGTGGTCTCCTGCTTTTGACTCCAATCATGAACCTCCTATTGTACCAGTATGGTTTAGTCTACCTGGTCTCAAGCTGTACTTTTTTTCATCATCAGGTTTTTTACTCTATTGGGGCCATACTTGGGGACCCTATGAAGCTAGATCTACCCATTTTCAACCTAACCAAACCTTCTGTGGCCAGAATTCTCGTGGAAAGAGATATTATTTTACCTGATATTACTGAAGTCTGGTTGGGCACAACTCATAATAGATATTGACAACAAATTGTCATAGAACATAGACCTTCTTATTGTTTTCATTGTAAGATGTTTGGGCATATCCTTGATAAATGTCATAAGTTTCAACTTAATTTAAAATCTAAATACCAAGTGAATAAGGATGAATCTAACCCCACTGCTCTAGACAAATCTGTTCCACCTGGAAAGAAAACTGCCAGAGGACAGGATTTGATGTCTGATTTAATTGCCCTTGTGGACCCTCTCTCTGAAAAATACTGTTTCTGTGGTTAATAAGAAACTGGATGGCCCTGTAGAGCAAAACCCTATTGAAATCAGTACTGAAGGACCCCTACCTACATGAACTGACAATCAGGAGAACCTTGCAGCTTCCCATCTTCAGGAAGTATTTGTAGTAGAGACGACAACTCATACCTTACACACACTTGAACCTCTTATGGGTACAATTGTCGGTAATCTTTCTACTGCAGCACTACCACCTCATCCGAATGAGCAACAATCCTTGGATGAGGAATGACATGTCTACACTTCCAGTGGTTCTTTCTTTTATTTTTGGATGATTAAATATTATTAATAGAAAATAAAAATAGAAAAGTTTTATTTTAACCATCCAACCGTCCTCCCGCCTTAAAAAATTCAAAGACCTGGAGTCATGACAATATCTCCGGGTACATGAATGGTGCAAGGGAATTAATAGGAGTGAAGCTAGATTTAGCTACTTTCGGGGGACTGCTGAATATTTGAAACCAATGACAACTGCCTAAAAGTTTGTACATTACTTCCTGGGTAAAAAAGTACTTCCCTCAACCACTTCTAAGGTTGTTTTACTTTCTCCCTCCTAACTTTTCACTTCATCTTCAGTGAATCCTGATAATTGTAGTTTGCGTCTAGGAAGCATGAGCTTTTATTTTTTTATTTCATTACAATTATATTTGTCATTTGGATTGTTTTTGTCGTTTCATAAAGAACTATTTTTTAAGTGCCAGTTATTGCTGTAGCCAAATAGGGCTTCAAAAGTTGATTTTCTTTTTCCACATTTTTCATTTCAGCAACATTTTCTCTTATTTAGAGGTTTTAAAATGCCTTTAAATAAAGGATAGTCCTGCATATCTTTCTGGCTAGCTTTATGATGGTTTGGTTAACCAAGCAAAATAGCCATAATATGCAACCATTGGCCATTTTTCAAGTAATCTTCTTAGCCAATCAAATGTATCATATTGATGTTCTGCATAGCAACTATTTACTGATTATATATATGTTATGGTTATAAGTGTCACTTTTTTCGGACATTAAAATCTAAAACCTACTTCATGTCATTTTTATTTGTTACTTCGAATTTCTTCTCTATGTCTGTTTTTTTTTTTTTTTTAAATAAATATGCTTGTTTATTAAAGCATATGTTAAGCGTTATTCGTTTGTGTTTTCAGTTTTCCTCTAGCTGCATTGATTTCTTTCAATTCAATTACCAGTCAATATTATGATTAACTTCTACGCTTTTATCTTTAAATTTTTATTTATTAATAGCGTCTAAGTTCTTATTTTTTTTTCTTTTTCAGTTTTATACAGTCTGAAAGACAATTATGAGCAAGCTTTGAAAAGAAATGACGTGAAAGCAATTGTTGTCACCGGTATTCTCTCTAATTGCATCAGGTTATTTTTTGTTTTTCTACTTTATTTCTTATTATTTTGACTATCGAGCAGGTGCTAGGGGAAAATTTTCTGGAGGTTTTGATATCAGTGCATTCAGCGCAATTCAAGGGGGAGACAGTAAGATTATGATTTTTAATTGAAGATTTCTCACCTTTTTTGACTTTATTAACATTAATATTTTATTCGTTCAGCCAGACAACCTAATGCGGACTTTATTTCAATTGAAATTGTCACCAACACCTTGGAAGGTATTTGATTGAGCTTCGGTATATCTATTGTGTGAATTGTCTCTATCTATTAGTGTTTGAACATAACAACGCTTTTTTTGTTTATTAGCTGCAAAAAAACCATCAGTAGCTGCTATTGATGGTCTGGCACTTGGTGGTGGGTTAGAGATTGCCATGGTATGCTGAGTGATGTTGCCAAGAAACTTTCAAAATCTATGCTCTTAAGACTGTTATTTATTTCGTAATGTCTTTCTTGAAATTTTTAGGCATGCCATGCACGCATTTCTACTTCAAATGCTCAGCTAGGCTTGCCTGAGCTCCAACTTGGTGTCATCCCAGGATTTGGAGGTACTTTTCATGAGTTTTTCTAACTATCTTTGATATAAACAGCAGTTGCTTTATTTACTTGTAGTTTGATAATTATTTTGGGTAGCATCTTTGACAAGGCTTGCTTGTACAGTTAATTAGGATAAAATGTGTTTGATGCATGGAGGCAGTGACTGATTTAGGTGGGGGGTGGGGAATTCATGTAGAGCTAAGGCAAGCGATGGTAGTAGATTCCATTTTCTGAAATAAAAATGCATGCTATTGGAATTATTCATCAAAATTTTGTTTATGGCGCGATTTTTTTCTCCACAAGAGCTAATCAAGGGACATGTTTGACAAGACCTCTTATATTAATGAGGTGTCTATTTGGCTTCATCATGTTGATGTGTAGCCAGATAAGTGGGCCTCATTTTGTGGGCTGATATTGGAAATGATCCTACTTTTTATTGTGTTTGAGAGACGAAATACGTCATTTTTCTCATTTCCCTAATGTTTAGCCAAACTTGGCTTAACTGATCTGTTGGGGATGCATTCCTTGTGATTCGATGGACTTTTGATGATGAGCTGCATCATTCATCTTAAATGAGTTGGTTTTTATGAAAATCCTAAAAGTACGGACTCTTCTGTAAATTGCATCAGCACGTTCTTGACCTTTGCATTTGTTTAACTTGATGAACAACTTCCATGTCTAATTTCAGGAACTCAACGACTCCCACGCCTTGTGGGCCTTACTAAAGCTCTTGAAATGATCTTGGTAAGGTGGTTTATTATGTCATTAATTTCTTATGTTTGTTAAGGTTATGTAACCTTTTGTCTGGAGTATAATAATATGCTAACTTATGCTTGTCAGTTGTCTAAGTCAGTTAAAGGAGAAGAAGGCCATTCATTGGGTCTTGTTGATGCCATAGTTCCACCTGATCAATTGGTCATTACTGCTAGGCAATGGGCTTTGGATATTATTGAATTTAGAAGACCATGGATAAGAAGCCTTTTTAAAACTGATAAATTGGAACCATTAGGAGAGGCCAGGGAAATTCTTACGTTTGCCAGAGCTCAAGCTAAAAAACAAGCTGCCAATCTCCAGCATCCGTTAGTCTGCATTGATGTAATAGAAGAAGGCATAGTGTCAGGACCTCTAGCTGGACTTCGGAAGGTACATATTACTATTTTTTTTTCCGAAGGGGAAGGTACATATTACTTTGGTGAATTCCTAGCAATACTATGATAACTTTAATTATTTGGAAAATCAGCCTTTTGCTAACTTTTTTCCAGGACACTACTGACTTTTTATCATATGTTTTTTAGGAAGCCAGTTCGTTTCAGCAACTTCTTGTCTCTGACACATGCAAGTGCTTGGTCCATGTGTTCTTTGCACAACGTGCTACCTCTAAGGTTCAAACTTTTGTTAATTTATATTTTCTTATTCTATTTTTAGCTTCATTTGTTTACCTTTTGCATGCATTTGGCATCCTTTTATTTTTATAGAAACCAAGATTTAAAATTGCGCGTTCTGATATCAGAGCATTTTATTTCCATGAGAGATATAAGTCTCAAAATAAAATTATTATATAAATTAAAACTATGAAAATTAAAGCATTCAAGAGTAATTGTTTTAAAATATAGTTAAAAAAAGGTTGACATAGGACTTTATAATAAGCAAGAATTCTGAGATGAACTAGTAAAAAAAATCTTGAATAACTAAATATATAAAATAACTTAGTTATGACAGGACTAAATTCAAAAGTTATTCTCGGCCCCATCACTTGGAGGCTTTTCATTAAAATGATCATCATAGTTAATTGTTTTATTGCCTTCCCCATTCTTACTAATGTTAATATCCTCCTAATATTTTTCATCATTTTCATTCTCAATCACCTTCTCCTTATCTAATTAATAAAATTTAATGAGAATATTATTTAAAACAATATACGTATTTACCTTTTCTAGTTAATTTCTTGTCGACTTTTGCTATTCTTGTTCTTACTTTCATAAAAGAAGTCAACACTGAGATCTCCCTTTATAATTGTGATGATGAAACTTCATTTTCATCTTTAATAAACCATTCATCTTCTGATGACATATTGTTAATTACCAATGAATCTCATCATCCTCTAAAAGTTTCTTCAAATGCCTATTTTTTTATCTTATATAATACTTTATATAAATCAATGAGTTTATTTTTATGGTAAAGAAATTTTGATGGTTAGTATTTTTATGTCAGCCTATCACATAAAAAAATTAAAACAAAAGATTTATGTTATTTTAAAAATGCCCCTAGTGCATACGTCAAGGTGTATCTCATTGATTCGGGGCGTCTCTTTTTCCCATGTGAAGTTATAACCTCAAGATAAATGATGTATTATGTAATTTTAAATTATGTAGAAGCTATTTATGGTGTAAAAAGTGTGCACCCATTAAAACGTAGAGAAAGAAAATCAATATATTATCTCATCTGAATTTTGAAAGCAAAATGATTAATTAAAAATTCAACTAAATATTTAATGAGCCAATGCAAAAGTATAAAAATCTTCTTTTCCTCTGAGATTTAAAAACATTTCAAGTAAATTTTAACTTTTTGAAAACACTATTGTGGTCCTTAATATCGTTTGAGAATTTTATTATGATCCCCGAGTTTTGATTTTCAATGATGTTCGTTGTTCTTGATGATGTCATGAAATTCCTTTTAAATTTAATCATGAAACAATATGCATGATTTTTTTTAAAGATTGAATGCATTCTCTAGGCAATATTGCCCCTCACTTAAGTGATGGTAGATCAACTAAAATCTCACTAAAATCTCCTTGGAGAAAAAGTTTCTGGTACATGAATGCGAAGTTTTTGGTAGGATCTAAGCTAGAAGCTAATGATATCAACATTGGGACTCATTCTACAGTGTGCTATGTTGGGAAATGATGCAGAAAGCATTAGATCCATAGATCGAAAGGGTGGTAGTCTTGATGGTAGTTCTGCTAGACACACATCCTTCAATTGTTTTAAAAGTTTGCTTATGGAATTAGGGGGTGTCGGGCATGGATTGGCAGCTTCCGTGACAACTAAAGCAGATATAGCCTTTCTTTCTTTGCAATGAGCTAATAAGTTATTTCCTGTCACCAGAATGGCAGAGGTGTCTTTTTTGATTCTCTGAATTAATTGTGGTTTACCGAAGGCATTAACTTAATTTTTATTCTTACCATTCAACGAAATACACATTAAGGCGGCAATGATGCATTGCCCCATGTTGAATTATCATGTTCTTCCCAATATGAGATGACATACATCCATATCCAACACACCGCACCAGGCCTACCATAAGAAGTGTTGTCCAAGGAAAAGTCACTCGACACATGCAGGAAACTATTATTTTCATTCCTTTCCGTAGCCAATTGATTTTATAGGGATGTGGGTGTTTGATGGTTTTTAATTGAAGCACTCTAACAACCTATTTAAAAATTATATTCTCACTATAGTCGTTATTAATGAGTAGGTACCAAACTTTACCGTTAATTGTGCAATGTGTGTGGAAGATTGCATGTTGTTAAGAGGCAATTCGCTGCAGAGGTGCGAGGAGGATTTGTTTTAAAATAAATACAACTTTACCTATGCCCCCTTAGCTTCTCCGCTTAATCAATTGCATTCTCATTTTTATTAAACCACCTGGACGTTCACTTTACTTGTCACCTGGTTGAAAACATTCGAAGCATTTTGGATTGCTAGGCTTGGCGTAAGATTTTTCTCATGTATTGTTGTTTTGTTCTCCTATCTTTGATTTGGGTAAAATAGTTTTGTTGAGTAATTGCATTGTATAGTTTTGGGATTCGGCGATTTACTCATTTAGCTTCCAGTTCATTGTGTGGGCACCTGAATGGAGTTACCATGGAAGGCCTATTGAGCTGTATTTCTGCCTTATATGTAAAATTAATTGCCTGTGAGAGCAACCAAATAGAAAGAAGCTCGAGCTTTATCTGAATCACTTCTTTAAGCCCTCTGTTGTACTGAGTTATCTATTGATTGCTAGATTCATTTAACTTGTTCCTTGCGCTCAACTTATGGAATTTCTGTGTGAGCACAAACTGATCACTGTTAGGGGTGTAAACGAGCAGAACATGAGCGAGCTAAGGTTCTGTTCGTGTTTGGCTCGTTTGCATTAATACCTGTTGGAAATCAACTGGTGTTCAAATTAGGCTTCTAATACGTCTATTTGTATTCAGTTTGATATTGCTCGATTTTGTTCATGGGCTGCTCGAAGTCACCTTCATGCGCAATTTGAACTCTGAAACATGTGAGTTTTACATTTAATTTTAAACGTCATTTGGAAAAAAAGTGAACCGACTTCCAATGTAAAACATATGCAGGATTTTCTTTTGAAATTTTCTAAGGGCATTTATATACATACCACCTAACTATTATGTATTTACATGTTTAATCCCTAAATTTGAGAACACAGGCGGGGGAGGGCAGAGGAAAATTCAAATGGGTTTTCACGTATCACTCAATTCTTATGTATTTACATATCTACCACCCCAATTAAAGGGGGTGCAGGCGTTCAGCTACTTTAAAGCTATTTTAGGGACCTTTACATGCATAACACCCAAATCCTATGTATTTACTTATCTAACACCTAAAGTTATATTTTTGATAATTTTACCACCCAAATAATCTAAAAAAAAAATTAGCATTTTTTAAATACATATGAAAATTAATATAAAACAAGATATGAATAAATATTTTTATTTAATTATTTAATTAATTCGAGTCAACATGAGTGAACACGAATAAGCAAACTTTTGTTCTTGCTTAGCTCTTTTATAAATCAAGCTAATTAGTGTTTGGCTTGCTTATATAATGAATGAATCAAACACAAGCTATTTAATAAAAGTAACCAAAATGTAGAAGTATACCCCAAAAAAGTAACTTAGATGAAGTTTCTAAAAGCAAAGCAAAACTATCAATCATGATGGGAGGATTTTCTTCTCTCCCTCTTCCTAGTTTTAGGATTGGAGTCCAGCAACAAACTATGAAGGGGGCTCTACCCGAGACGATCAAACTGTCATCCTGTAGATTTTGGAGGTGAGGCATTGCTTTTTTCTTCTTCTTGAGTTTATAAAATTGTCGTTCATCTTCCACTTGTTGATCCAGCTGATCGTATATTGGAATTTTAGCAGAGAGCTCAAGTTGATCTTGGCATTCCTTCAATGCATGAGTACTTTCCCCAACAACAATGAGTGTTCCCAACTCATTATGGTGAACATCCAATACAATCAAATGAGAGGGATTAGGGGTCTCAGTAAGTTTGCATAAAGGTGGGTTCTCTTCAGGTTCACTGGGAGCAATATTAGACTGTGTAAGAATGCTTCCATTGTGAGGAATGTGGACAACAAACAACTCATCTGTCTGGTTAACATTTGCACCAACAGGTTCTAACAAAGTTGCAGGATCTAAAGTTGCCTCTTTGGTATTACTGGCAGAATTCACATGTTGAGGAATCAAGGGTTCCTTTGCGTTTTGTTCTAAAACTACACTGTTGAAAATACCATGTTCAGGAATATATGGTTCTTTTGCATATTGTTCATCCATAGTATTATCTATATCCAGTTGTATTGGATATTAGGTTTCAACGTTCGGTGTAATATGAAGCATTTATCATGTGTGTGGCCAAACATCTTACAAATAATTGTGGTAGTAAGGTTTTTGTTTCATAATGATTTGTTGTCAGTAACCATTGTGAGCAGTGTCAAGTCTGCTTTCTTCTTTATTTAGAAGAGTAATATCCCTCTATTAAAATCCTTGCAGTAGAAGACCTTGACAGATTAAAAGTAAAAATGTCTAATTTCATTGGTTTTCCAAGAATAACCCTAATAACATATAGTATTTGATGGTTGAAGAAGTGAAGCTTGAGTCCAGGTAATTTAAACCATATAGACACAATGGGATGTTCTTGACTTAGATCAAAATCAGGGGACCATTTAAGCAATTTCATATATTTGTCCTCAATTAAGATGTATTTCTTCGAGAATATCCTTGCAAAGTCTTCTTCTTTACTCAGTTATATCATAACACGTCTTTCATCAAAGAGACCCACATTCCAGACTCCAACTAACTTGAAATCTTCAAACACTTTCCTTATAGTCTCCATTTTAGGGTGACCCAATTGGAAGTTTCCAATCAGAGTAAGTTGATAAATTTTAGCAATTGTTGAAATTTTAGTGTCGAAAAAAATTAATGCTGGTTTGCTCTCATTTTTTCTTGTTTTTTTATGAAGTTACAATTTCCTTGCCTAGCAAATGAATCGTGATACATTTGTGAAAAAAACTAAAGTATCCCCGAGTTGGAAAGGAACACTGTCTTTGTCAACCACTGCAGCATAGGAGGGTTTGCGCACGTTCAGAGTAGGT